CGTGAGAGGAAGGAGTGACTTTAACCCCTCTTCTAAGTTGACTTACTAATATTATGATGCAAAATATTATATATATATATATATATATATCTGTGTGTGTGTGTGTATAATTGTTAAATTAATATTTTTAATTTATCCAAATAATAAATTGAAAAATTAAGAAAATAAATAAATAAAGTGTGTATAAAAATTATGCAAATAAATCAAATATAAAATTTTTTTGCATAGAAAAATAATAAGCAACATTTTCTAAATGTTACCAGTAAGAAGATCTATAGGTAATATTTATATTTTTGTCATCTATTAGAATGGGGAACATTTTTGAAATGTTGTCATTAAAGAACTTTTACAGGAAATATCTTTTATGTTGCCTATTCAAAAATTTTATTTCAACACTTAAAAATTGTTGCCTATTCTATTTTAAAGAATATTTTTCAAATGTTGCCAAAAATATGTTGCTTAAAATAGGGGATCAATAGCAACATAAAAAAATTGTTGCTCATGATCATATTAGGCAATACTTTTAAAACTATTACAAATAAAACTGTTGCCTAAAACAAAAAAATGTTGAGTACCATACTCCCTCCAATCTAAAATATGAGTAGTTTTTTTTAAAAAAAAATTGTATACTAATAATAAAATCTTCATTTTTATAAAAATATATATTATTTTTTCTTTTTACCCTTAGTCCAATTACCAAGGTACTTTATGATAAGTGAGAGATAACTTTATATAAGGATCTAGGTTAATAAATATAAATTATAAAATAGGAAAAATAATTTTTACATGTACTAGGTTGCTTATGTTTTGAACTAAGAAAAGTTGAGACAAAATGGAAATAAAATAGGGAAAGGAGAAAACTAGATGAAAAAGACGTTTTTCATCTTTATTTTCCCTTAATTTTTCCCATAAATTAATATGGAGAAAACTAATGAAAAAGTATGTTAGGGAGAGTTTTTTCTTCCACTTTTCTCATCTATTTTTTTCTCCTTATTTTTCTCTCATTCCAAACTTGAGGTTAAAGTTTTTAACTTTTTTCCTTAAAAAGTAGTTATTGAAACTTTTAACAGGCATGTCACCTAACCCTTGAGTCCATGAATTTATTTCTCAATGTATACAACATGATCCTATATTGCAACTGAGGTTTATTTATGTTATTTATGATTGAAAATGATGTTTTACTAAATTACTTATTGTAGTCGAGGATAACGTACGTATAAAAAGGTGAACTAATTTAAAATAATTAAAAACTAATTCTTTTTTATTCACATCATACATCAAAGTATATGGAAATATATGATCGACAAATGAATTTAAATCTGGAAGCATATGTTTTAAATTGAAAAATAAAAATAGAAGGGGAACGGTGGTGCTAGGATTAACAAGTAATCTTAAAAAAATAACAAGTGACATTAAGAAATTAACAAGTCGACTTTATATTTACAATAATAAAGAAGTGGTTTTGAAAACTAAAATTATATATATATATTATAACTTGGTAGCTTGGTGGCTATATATTTTTTGGTGTGCCAAGGTCATGCGTTCAAACACTCCTTTGGCTGCACCCTGCGAGTTAAAGGTCACTAATGCCAGGACTCCGACGGTTAGTGACATAGGGGGCATTTTCTTTTTTTTTTAAAAAAAATTAAGGATAATTTTATCTTTTTACAATACATTTTAACTACGTTCAAGTTTCTTGATCCTACGAGCAAACTTAGATTCTTTTGGTCTTGTTTCATAATAAATGTCCTCAAAGACCCTCAGATATGATTTTCCTTTATTTTGTTTTTAAGAAGATCAATTACATAAAATAAAAAATACCTTACAAATAATAAGCCTAAGGAACAATAAAATGAAAAGGGAAAAGAAAATAAAATCTATCTTGGGAAACATTAAAGCAAACAGCATCAAAATTCTCAAACAGCAAACTAAAATTGGTTAAAGGCTGGAGAGAATGATATTTCTGTGAGACAGTTTTAAAGCTTCTTTTTGCAGCAAACCAAAGAAAAACCACAACAATTGATAAATCTTTGAACTGTCTTATTCTTGATAATCCATATCAGCAAGGCTACAAGGCAGAGAAGAACAAATGAGTTGGCCTAATTTGTTTGAAAATAAGTACATTAAATATATATGATTAATTACTTATGTCCCATGTCTTCTCATTTTATTGAAGACTGAATCACAGAACAAAGAAATTAAAGAGCAAGAGAAGAAAAAGAAATATCAAAGCAAGAACACAAGAGCAAGCCAAAAAAGGAAAAAAAGAAACAAAACACAAAACAAAACGGTGAGAGGAAACAAAGTTGTTTGACAAACTAATTCGAAATGTTAATTTCCAATCAAATTCAGGGTCACCACTTCCAATAAATTTCTTAGTTAAGTGGTTTGACAATTCGGAGCATTTCTTTGCAGTTTCTAAGCAAATTCAAGGTTACGTGCATAGCGGCGAAAATAAAGTAAATATACTTGATGTTTTCATTCCAAGTCTTCCTTCTGCTTCACACACACACAATTCCCAAAAAAAAACTTAAAATATTAAAAATATTTTTACGATAGGTTTTGTTTTTATTGTCCGGTTGTAGAAATCCATGTTCTTTTTGTTATTACACTCAATATTTTCTTGTGGGTTCTAAACTAATACAATTTTCCAAATTTGGTAGTTACTATTGTCTTCTCTTTATTTTTTATGTTATTTATAATTGAAAATGATGCTTTCCCAATTTACTTATTGTATTTGAGGATAACATTCATAAAAAATGTGAAATATATTAAATTGTTAAAAACTAATTTATTTTTAACTCACGTCATGCATCAACATCAACGCATATATATGGAGATATACAAGAACATGGATTTAAAAATTATAGAAGAAAATGTTCCAAATTGAACAGTAAAAATAGGAGGGAAGGGCGGTGCTAGGATTCACCATTAGAAGGCAATTAAAAATAATGTATTAATGGTAGGTCTAAATATAAAATAAATTGTAACATACAGTAATTACATGATACATATACACGTCTAAAAATGTAAAAATCCAATAAAGCATTGCAAAATGAAAAGCATCACACGGTTTCTGCCTTCCATTCTGCCCAAAAAAGAAAAAGAAAAAATAACAATAAAATTCCTCTAAAATATGTAAATAACAAGTTGGTCCCTCAAAATATTATAATTTTCTTAAAGTCTCTTGAAAATTTTCTGTCATTAATGAATTTATATAAATTATCAAATTACCTTTTGTTGAAAATAAATGATTCACAAGTTTTATTTAAATATTTATAACTTTTCTTCTTATATTTACAATAATGTAATAGTAAATAAGAAATTTAACATTTAAAGTTATAATTTGCTATTGCATTGTTGTGAATATAAGAAGGAAAGTTGTGCATATTTAAACAAATCTTATATCATTTATTTTCAACAAGGGTAATTTAGTAATTTAAATAAATTCATTAATGACAGAAAAGTACCTAGAGACTTTAGGAAAATTATAGCATTTTGAGAGACAAAATTGACATTTATATATTGCAAAAGGATTTTCTTGTCATTTTTCCAAAAAAAAAAGAAAAACATCATCATATTAGTTTAACAGATTATCAATTTAACCAGATGATTGAGTTGATTTGGAATTTTATACAATGATTGCAATCAAATTCAGGGCTATTTCCAAGAAACTTCTCATAATTAATTTGTTTGACAATTCGGAGAATTTCTTTGCAGTTTCCTAGCAAATTTAGGGTCACATGTATAGAGTGAGAAAGGTAGTACATTCTTTATGGTTTCATTTTAGTCTTCCCTCCCTTTCACACACACACAATTTAAAAAAAATCTTATTTTAAAAATAAAAAATGTTACTATGCACATTGTCTTGTTTGTATTTATCCATTAATATATATATATATATATATATATATTCTTATTGTATTTGATTCTTTAAACTGAGAGAAAGAGAATAAAAAAATTATTGTCCAGATGTAGAAATCAATGTGAATTCTTTTTTATATTACACTCAATATTTTCTTGTGAGTTGTAAACTATTAAATTTTCACAAATTTTGGTAGGTACTCCCTCCATTTAAAAAAGGTAAGTCATTTTATAAGGGGTTGAATGTTTAAAAATGTAAGGTATTTTTAATTTTTCATGATATAATTATTGTCTTTTTTCTAAAAGTACCTCTATTAAATAAATCACTTTATATTTATTTTAGAATGAGGCACCATATTAAATAGGAGTGAATATGAAAAGATGGGGTTAATTATAGACAATTAACTACTTTATTGAGGATAAAATTTGATTAAAAATACTTTATATTTTTTAACGGAAGAAGTACTTTCTATTGTCTTTTCTTTGTTAAACAAAAGTAATATACATACATAGTATTGGGCACTCGGTCATAGTTTAATATTGTTTTTCATCCTCTAATCGACGGTAAATCTAAGAGAACTTTTTATATTCTTAAAGATATGTTGAGATCTTACATTTTAAGTCATGAATAAAGTTAAAATAAAAAAAAATTAAACTCTCAAATCTGACTTCAAGAATTTTTTGAACCTACTAAAATTATTGGCTCTAAGCGAGATATATGACACATGAATTTAAATATAGAAGAATATGTTTTTAAATTGAACAACAAAAATAGAAAGAGAAGAGTGATGCTACGATTTAACATTAAAAAGAAATTTAAATAATGGATTGAATGTTAACGGTAGGTCTGAATATCAAAAATATAAATTGTAATACACATTGCACGGTAATTACTAATCACATTATGTAAATGTCTGAAGAAAAAAAAAAAAACACACCACACACACACACCATAAAGCAATGAAAAGCACATCACATGGTTCTGTCATTTCATTCTGCAAAAAGGAACACTGATGTCCATAACACGGTTTGAATGATGAACGCGTATAGACTTGAGAGAAGACTTGGACTTCCAGACCTCTTTGACTGGTTGTTCAGACTCGAGAGTATTGTTATACCTTCATCTAACTCAATACACGCAAGTGATCCAACATATCTTTCCACATTACTTCTTCCTCCAGGTTTCTACTTTCTTCCTTGCTCCGTTTTAGATTTCTTCTGTGAACTGAATGGTCTTAGATCTGTGAGATTTCGCTTTGAATTAAACATCCAACGTCAATGAGAATGCATATCTACATGGATTCTGCTTCCATTTAATTTTTGCCTCAAGAGTGAACGAGTCTTGCGGTAAGAGTGAATCATTCAGTTTCTGTTATCTTGTTTTCTTCAGTGAATTAGTTTATTTAGCTGATTTGCGTCATGGGACTTTGTGTCTGTTTTACTTTCAAACTCAAATAGACAGGAAAATTTGTTATGGGATATTTACAAAAGTTTGTTCACTTTCTCTCGCCTTCAGTAGTATCCCTTTCTCATTGCCACACTTTGTTGAAGTTCCTATTTTATTCGTTTGCGCGTGTATATTCTTTCGGATTTTGTATTTTTCACTTTTGTACTTTGGTTCAGACTCTGAATCCTTGCAATGGCGCTTGATGTTAATGGAGTTGGGTGTTCTTCAAGCTCTTATGGATCAACTAAGAGACGGAAATATGATGTGTTTTTGAGTTTTCGAGGTGAAGATACTCGCACAATCTTTACTGATCATTTATATGATGCTTTAAGACGCAAAGCATTAAGAACTTTCAGGGATGAAGAAGGACTTGAAAGGGGACAATATATCAATACAAGTTTACTACAAGCAATTGAAGAATCTCGTTCTGCAATTGTTGTGCTCTCCCCAGGATATGCTTCTTCAACATGGTGTTTGGATGAACTCCAAAAGATTCTTCATTCAAAAACGAGTTGGGCCTTCAAGTATTTCCAATCTTTTATCGTGTAGATCCATCTGATGTTAGGAAACAAAAGGGAACTTTTTAAAGAGCATTCATGGAGCATGAAGAAAGATTTACACAAGACAAAATGAAGGTGCAAAGATGGAGGCATGTTTTAGAAGAAGTTGCTAGCTTATCTGGTTGGGACTCGCGGAATAGGTAATCTATACTTCTCTCAATAACTATCATCACTATTGTTTTTTTTTTTTGGAAAAAGAAGGGTGTGGGTATTCAAATAAACTATAATAACCACATCAAGCTTTATTTATTTTCTTTTCTTTTTTCTGTTTTTTGAGAGTTATGTTACTTAAAAGCTTTCACTAAAATGTAGTATAAGATTAATTTTAGTGGTCGACTTGGACTTGTAGGTTTATGCTTTGGTAAAATAGGTTTGTATCTGTAATAATTGTATTGATTGTTGCTGCATTAGGTTTCCCAATTGAATTCAATCAAAATGGTTATTTTCTTTCAACGATATTGAATTTTAATAATATTAATAATATCTCTCTATTTTGAAATATCATTATTAATTAATTTAATCTTTACCCTACTTGATCAAGTCTTCCAAATCAATACATCACTTATTGATGCATCTTTTCGACACCTAGTAGCTTAATTCAAATTTAGTAAAATAGCTATAAGGACAAATAGATTATATGGGGAGGCAATTTTGTAAACCCCTCTTTTTTCCTTCTAGTCTTATTAATTAATAAGAAGAGAGAGAAGAATATTTGCCTTATTTATAAGCAATGTCATTCATTTTTTATCACAAGTTTTTTATCCATTGTTAAATATTGGCAGGGTAAAATATATTATTAAAGTATGTATATTTAATTAGAGTAATATCATGCCCCCAAAAATTAGGTGTAACCGGCATGGGATATATGCACAACCATACATCCCTAGCTCATAGACCACACACTTTATAATTCAATTGACTTAAATGATCATTCTATTTTTAGGTCAAATAACAAAGATCATGCAATCATTTTATTCTTCTATGCAGGCATGAAACAGAATTCATTGAAAGCATTGCAAAAGAAATGAAGTCTAAGTTACATGATGAATCGCCATTTGATCTTGGTGCATTAGTTGGAATTGAATCAAAATTAGATGAGTTGGAGTCACTCATAGCAATTGATTCGGAAGGGGTTCGATCTATAGGAATATGGGGAACAGGAGGCTTAGGTAAAACTACTCTTGCTAGAGCTTTTTATGACTGGAAGTGCAAGGATTTTGAGGTTTGTTGCTTTCTTCATAATATCAGAGAGGAATATGAAAAGGGTGATTTGATTTCATTGCAAAGAAATCTTCTTTTCTCTTTGAATAATAAAAGAAGTGTGGAAGTGGATGATTGTTATGATGGAATTAAGCTGATAAAAAACATGCTGCAGGATAGAAAAATTCTACTAGTCCTTGATGATGTGAGTGATATAGGCCAACTAGAATATTTGGCTCGAGAGCAAGGATGGTTTGGCAATGGGAGTAGAATAATATTAACAACAAGAGACATGCATTTGTTATCATTATATGATGTATCTGCTCAGTATGACATCGAATTCTTGAGTGGTGACCAATCCCTTCAACTTTTCCGTCAAAATGCTTTTAAGGGAAAAAATCAACCAAATGAAGGTTACTTGGTTCTTTCTAAAAATGTGATAGAATATGCTGGAGGCCTTCCTTTGGTTCTGAAAGTGTTAGGTTCACTTCTTTGTGGAAGAACTATAGAGGAATGGGAGGATGCACTTGCCAAGTTTAAGAAGGTTCCTCCAAAGGACATATTGAAGATACTTAATGTGTGTTTTGACAGATTAGATGATAAGGAAAAGACTATATTCTTGGATATTGCTTGTTTTTTCAATGGGATGGACAAAGATCGTGTCACACAAATTTTAGAAACTTTTGATGAAGATCTTTACCCAAAAATTGGAATAACAATTCTTATTGAGAAATCACTAGTAATCAATCGTGAAGGGCGTTTATGGGTGCATCATATTCTTCAAGATATGGGTAAATATATTGTCCTCCAAGAATCATTTGATAAGCGTTCTAGGATAATGTCTTTGAAGGATGCCAATGATGTACTAAAATCAAATAAGGTATCATCCCTTAAGTTCTTGTGATTGTAGATCCAGTCATCCACTCTACTGTTTTAAAAACTAGATCAAACTGGATGGTCGGACTAGTTAGACAGTCAATCGGATATGTTAACAAACAATTCACATATATAAAATATGATTTGAGACTTTTTTATAAAGATATTGACAATTATAGATGGAAATATAAATACTTTCAAATTTACTTATATCTAATTTAGTTAAGATCCACTTATGTTTGACATGTTATAAAATTATAATCTATAATATTGTTAATTTACGGTCATATTATGTCATTTTACTAAGATAATTTCGTTTCTTATATTTATATACATATATATATATATATTCAATATTATTTTTATTTAATTATTGTATCACTGGTCCAACTGCTGGTATAATAACCAGTTAGACTATAAAAACTAAGAACTGCTGACTTTTCCGATTTAATGTCCAGTTTGGCTTTTAAAATATTGGTCCACTCATCATTTAATATTTCATTCCATGAATTTGGTACATTATTAACTTGACTTATTATTTTACAGGGGACAGGAGCAATTCGAGGTATAGCTCTATCATTAGAAAAATCATCAGATGCACTTTGGGATCCTGAAGCCTTCTCAAAAATGAGTAATCTCAAGTTACTTATCATTTCAAGTTGCTCATCACATGTTTCTTGTTGCCAATTGAATCTTCCTCGTGGACTTAAATCTCTTCCCAATGAATTGAGAGTCTTTGAATGGGAGGGGTATCCTTTAGATTCTCTGCCCAGACATACTCAACTTGATAAACTTGTTCATCTAAAAATGCGACATAGCAAGTTAAAACAACTTTGGAGAGGAACACAGGTAATTATGGTCCTTCCATTTTAATTGCTTGTCCATAATGTAATACACTTAATATTATAACTAGCTTTTGGTTTTGACGACTTATTGTTTTCTTGTTTCTTTTTTTCTTTTCAAGTCTCTACAAAGGCTAATGTCCATTGATTTATCTCATTCCAAATACCTCATCAAAACTCCAAATTTTGATGGAATTCCTAATCTTCAAAGATTGATTCTCAAAGGATGTTCTAACCTTGTTGAAATTCACCAGTCCCTTGGGCAACACAAGAATCTTGTCATTGTTAATTTAAAAGGCTGCACAAAAGTTAAAACCCTTCCAAAAAAATTTGAGATGGATAGCTTACAGGCTTTTGTTCTATCCGGTTGTTCAAAAATTAGAAAACTTCCTGAGTTTGGAAAGGATATGAAATGTCTACCTAAGCTTGATTTAAAGGACACCGCTATATCCAAACTACCTGAATCACTAGGCAATTTGATTGGTCTTGTTGAATTAAATTTGTCAAGCTGCAAAAGTCTGGTTAGCCTTGCAAATAATGATTGTAAATTGATAGCTAGGAAGATTATCACAATTTCTTGTTGGCCAAAGCTATCAAGGATGCCAGAGGATTTGAATGAAAATGGGACTTTGGAAGTGCTTAATTATGTGGGCCGTGGAATTTCTAAAGAGGCACAATCAATTTGTAAGTGCAATGGTCAAGCACATTCTTCAACGTCATGGAGTTACTTTTCCCTTCTCAGGAAGGCATTTGGGCTTCAAAGGCCTTCAAGCTCAATAAATCTTGTCTTGTCCTCTTCTTTTTCGTCCTTGACAGACTTATATTTAGGGTCTTGCAACCTCTATGACGGATCACTTCCTGATGGCATTAGCAGCTTTACATCATTGGCAACATTAAATTTAAGTGGAAACAATTTCATTGACTTACCATCTGGCCTCATTTCCAATCTTTCGAAGCTTCAATGTATTTTTCTCCTTGATTGCCCGATGCTTAAGTCCTTGCCACAACTTCCATCAAATCTATCATGTATTTCCGCAAGTGGTTGTCCATCAATGGAACATTACATATGTTCGCAGAAACTGTGGGAGTTCATTGAATCATTCCAATCTCAGGTTTATTTTATCTGTCTTTACTTGTTCTTTCACATTGTTAATCATTATACTTCTTTAATATAGCCAGTTTTCCCTTTATAGGTTCATAATCTCAATGACGTCTCAATGCGTTATGAATCTCAAGCATGTAAATGGTTCAAGTTCAATAAGATGTCTGGAATTTTTACATTGGATTTACAAATTGTGAGTTTTCTTTTTTTTTTTTTTTAATTACATGTTTCTATTTTTTTTTTGGACATTGAGCATATATATTTGATCTGTATATATTTTCCATTTCTTACACATTAATTATTATACTTCTAAGACTTACTATTTGTTTCGTCACAGCCTGAGTTCTTCATGCAACCCAGTCGCCAATTAATAATTCCTGGTAGTGAAGTGCCATCGTGGTTTCATAATCAAGAATACTTTTGTGAGAAAGAATTCCCTGATCAAAATGTGTCATTCATAGTAAGCATACCTGATCATTGTCGAAGAAGTGAATGGTGGGGCATAGCCACATGCTTAGTGATAGAAAACGATTTGGCATACGGCGACGACATTGATACCGTTTGGTGGACTTGCAGATTTCCGAATGATGAATTTCCAAATGCGATTGGCTCCTGTTGCATTGTGTTACAATCAAAATGGAGTCATCAACTCTGTATTATATATATTCGTTGTTCCTCTTTAGTTGTGAACAAACTTCAAATGGTATTTTCTACTGGAGGTCCATTTGAAGATGATGAGCCGCCAATGTGTGAAGTAAGGAAGTGTGGATGGCGTGTAGTGTGTGTAAAGAAGATGTTGAAACATGGAATGAGTCTTGTAGTAGCATCAATGATGGAATCATAGTTAGCCCAAAACGCCAAGCTACCTAACAAAGCGCATAAAATAAGAACAAATGCTTCAAGGTACGTATGACACACATCTTTATTTTAATTGAAAGTTTATATTTTATATTATCCTTGTTTGATGGCTATTTAAATATTTGTTTAATGTATAAATTAATCTAATCTTTCAATTCATATAAGTATATATATTTCCTCAATTCTTTGTTTCCATTGGCATTGTTTATTTCTAGTATTGGATTTGTTTTCATATCTTAAAATTTTTTCTTGTTTTTTGTGTGTTGTTTTGGTGGTACTTGTATGGCATGATTTAGTTTCAATAGTCTATCAAATGCCAAATTTGATCACATGTACAATCACCTGTTTAAGGGAGATGTAGGATTTGTGAAGGTATATTAATTTCTAGTCTCAGTTTCTTGGTACATGTTTTGTTTGTTTCAGTATGATTGCTTAAATCTCTGATGTTTACTGAATCATTTTACAAAACCTAGCAAGTAGACTTCCAAAAGATGAGGCACAGACAGTATTTCGTTGGTATGAGTACTTCTTAAAAGTGTTTGTATTGAATATTGTTCTTTTTATTTCTAACTCTTAACTCTTGTTATTTTGCATATTTTCTTACTAATAAATTTTTTATTTTAGGCATGTTTTATGTAATGATCTTAAATCTTAAATTAAATAAAATTTTTCTCCTAATGAATATTTTATTTAAATTAAATTAGTTTATATCTAATGGAGATTGGAGAGTGATAGTTTATTGGAATATATGTTAGTAATTTTTTTGAAGGTTCAGAATTCAAATTAAGCAAAAGTTTTGTTTTATTTTGTCTTAAATTATAAGAAATTTTCGTGCCTTTATTGTAATTTCCTCGTGCCTTTCATGTAATTTTCCTTGTGCCATTTCTTATAACTTTCGCAATTATTCTTATGATCAGATTTATCTTCTATTTCGTGCGGAAAAACAGAGCATTCCCGCTTCTCATTTTTCTTCACCGACATTCTTCTTCCCTTCTCTCTTGACTGTCGAACTCTTCCTCCTCACCTTCAACTTGTTCTTCTTCTCGCCGTCGACAGTTTATCCACTCCTTTCCCACTGCCGTCGTCAGTTCCTGTAAAGTGCTGTACCTGAATCTCTTATCTGTTTCTTCGCTGTTGCATGCTGACAGAGGTGCGTGTGTGTTCATGCTGACAGAGTGCGTGTGTGTTCGTCTCTTTTCTTTCTTTTCTTCTCCTCAGCAGCTGGGCGTTCGTGTATGTGTGCATAGTAGGCTCAATCCTCCTTTTTCTGATATGAATTTCTGCTTCTCTTCCTCCTCGTTGAGCAGCCATGCGCTGAAGCTCTCTTCCCTTCTTTGATGTGGTCTATGAGCTAAAGTGTGTGGCAGCTCCACTGCACTCTGGTTGGAGGTAAAATATTGATTCTTTCTTCTTCTCCTTTGGTTTCAATAGCTACATGAATCCTCCTTCTCCCTTGGCTGAAGAATACGTCCCTACTCCTCGTAATTGCTGTCATAATTTTGGGAAATTGAATTGTGTTTTTTGGTTGATGTTATGCGTTGTCTTAGTTGGTGATGGGCTGAATGTTAACGATAGAATTAATGTTGAAAGTTGATTAAATAGTTAGGTGATCATTGTGAGCTGAATTGAGATGCACTTAAGAAAAAATTTGTACAAATAATGTTGCTAAATTGGTACAATATAGTTTGGAGTAAGATATGTGTAAGAAGTAGCTTGGGCTATTGATTAAAATTTAAAGATATTAAGATGTGAGAAAGGATTATATAATATACCTGTATATTATTTTATTAAGCTTAAATGAAGCATAAGAATAGTTGATATGATTTATTATAATTTGTAATTGAGGATGGGTCACAAGGAGGGTGAATTAAGATGTGTCAAATAAGCTTATTTGACTCAAGTATATTTAGATTGTTAAAATGCTTAAAAGAGTAATTTGGTTGAATTTAAATGGTTAAATTCTGTATAGAGGTTTAGTGAAGTATGTGTGTGATTGTTTGTGTCTATAGGTAATGTAGTGCTAAACTTGAGATGTATAAGAGGAGAATTTGGTAGAATGTAAGTTCTTCAATTTTCATATTATTAGTTTGATAAAACATGTGTAAGTAGTGATCTGAGTCATTAAATTAGAATTCTAAAGTACCTAAAGTAGATTTTGTTGAAATAAATGATGGTTGTGTCATTCATTAAGTTTTAAGAAGGTACAAAAAAGAGGTGAAAATATTTTTTCTTGTTTTAGTTGGGTTGTTAATAAGTTAGTTAATTGATAATAAATTTATGGATTGTATATTTTAGGTTGTGATGTTGTTTGGGAATCGAATTTGAATGTTTCCGATTGTTGAAAAATTACTTAATAAATGACTTCAAGATTGTGATTTTTGTCAAGAAATTAACAGCATCACTAAAATTAAAGTGAAAAGTAAGAGAAGCAAGTTTTCAAATTTTTGGAAAACTCTTAGGTGAGTAGGTGGCGTTTTAAATAAATTTTCAGCAAAGTACTCATAAAAATTTTTTTTATTTAAATTAAATTATTATTGCTTTATGAATTATATAAATGATGTTGTTAATCCTATTTTCATAATAATTATTTTATTAAGGACAATGTCCTGAATTTTACCAACGATTTATATTGTTGATAAGTAATGATTGAAATAGATAAACGACAAATGGTATTATTTCTCATAATCAGTTTAATTATTTAATTATACGTTGATAAAATTTTTTAATTGTAATGATTTGTGTTTGGAGAATATGATAGTTAAACAATATTTGAAAGTGAGAATTTTGAAAATTACTTTTTTTGCTCCATACATGCTTGATTTTAATGAGGAGGACTGAATTCAGAATGTTGGATGCTAATGGCAGTTCCGTTAGCCCTTGGCGTGCCATGATATATCTAACTAGTAGGGTGCTTATAGAAGGTGCTAGCCCCGTGTGATGGCCAGCGCACATGGAACGAAACGATGGTTATACGTGAGCATCATACTCACACTTGTTTTCATAGGCTTCATGCTTGTGCTTGATTTGTTGTTCCTATCGTGCTTGTTTTATGGTTTTCAGCCGCTCTTGAGAGGTTACTTACCCTTGTGGATTATGTGTCTATGCCTGATTGATTATTTATCTTTGCAGACTGTGTGTCCACACTTATTATTCGTTCTGATAAAGCCCTCCTAGATTTAAATTAAAATTATCATTTCTCTATTAATTCTCCAAAAGTATTTTATCAAATTGCACTATTATTGAAAATTTTTATATTTTATGAGCTGTACAAATTTTAAATATTTATGTGATTCTAATAGCATTGTTTAATTCATAGTTATATCATTAAGAAAACTCATTATTTGTTAGCTTAAGTATATGTTTATTTTTTTAAGTCATTTTGAATTAAATTTATTAGTTACTATATTCCTAATTTTTTTAAATTATAATTTTGATTGGAACGTTACTCACTATAAATTTTTTTGGGTCTCAAATATTGTAGTTGACCTGCACCTCTTGCTAATCATTGATGGGCACCGTTGCTTTGGTTTGTGGAAGCATATTGACATTTAGTTTCATGTAAATATGTATTATATATACAATTGTAGTTTAGCGCTCCACATATGTCATAATTAGATCCTAGTTTTATTTTACTGATATGTAATCTGTCAGTGTAGAATTAGTCTCCTTTACTGGATTGGCTGATAGGTATGCTATTGTAGAAATTTTAGAGGTTCAAATTATAAGAGAGATTTTGTCAAAATTTTTACAAAATATTTAAGAACTTACGAACTTTATAAATTATATATCGATATTTTAGCTTAATTTTTAGTTAATTAAGACTTATGGAATGCAGATCTATCTCATATTCCATGTCGGTCATACTTTTAGAATTGAGGTGTGATATTATTTGTATAAAACAACCATGATAGAATATACACACATAATTGTTGTACATACCTCTCTATACAGAAGTTGATACTATAGTTGACTAATTTTTGCACAATTTTTTTTTCACTAGCACTAGGTTGATACAAAGTACATTTGCTGGGCAGCAATAAGATTCTAGGTTGTCGGATTCATAACCTTTGCTAAAGTTCCAAGGGGCCTTTTTTGTCTTTTTCCTAAGATGTAACAACAACATTAAGGACGGTAATTCTAGCTACTTTGATCAAGGCTTTGATTCTTCAACCAGTTTGTGGTTGATTGATACCCAAGATCCACTAAGCAATTACTTTTACAGTAATAAATATGACATCGAAGATCGAAGAACAAAATAAATCAGATGATGGGAAGCCAAAATTGAGAAGAAAAAAGGGTTTAAGAGATCCAATAGAAGGGATGAAAAGAAAACTGCAATTTACCAAAACTGGATGGCAAAATCAGCTGCCAATAAATTCTCCTCTTGCATCCCAAGGGCGATTTTCATAAAGAACTTTCCAACAATGCTGTGTATTTATTTACGGTGCCATTCTTGCAGCCGAATTTCTAAAGGTAATCAAGGAACGTTATTACAAGTCCCTCATTGAAAAATGGTGTGGGATTTTTAAGTTTAAAAGGTTCTTCACCCAACAAGCTAGTCTTTTGAAATAGCTTTCGCTTTGAGCTTGTGCTCCTCATATTAGTACTTTTATTGAAAGGCTGGTGTCACGGAAAGGACAACCTACAGAGAGTTTTGATCGGTAAGAGGCTGAGTGAAGTGTCATGAAGTGGAGCCATCGTGGATGTCGACTCTTGATGAGGTGGCATTGTCACAAGTCCACATCAGAGAACCTTACAAGTGATGCAGGGTTTATAAGTTTAAAGGGTTCTCTGTAACATCCCGAAATTTTAAAACTCGGATTTATAAAAATAAAATAAAATATCTATAATTAAATTAAAATTTAGAATAATTTGATAGAGGTCCAGAGTTTTAATTTTACTAAGCAAAATTTTAGTTTTATTTGATTTTTAACTATGGAAAAATTACCAAAGTTGACCCGGGCTTTTGTGCAATATAAAAAAATATTGGCCCTTTCTTGTAATTTTTCCCAAACTTTTTGACCAGCATTTTAAGAGGCAAACTGGATGCAGAAAACACAGAAAGGAAAGAAGAACAAAACGCACAGAGAGAGAGAGAGAGAGAGAGAGAGAAGAGAGAGAAGAGAGGAGAAGGGAGGGAGTTAGGCTTGGATCTAGGAGTCTTTGTAATCGTTGCGAGCTCAGCTACACGATAGGTAAACTCCCTACTTCAATCCTCTTCCCTTTCTCTTGATTTTCTTCAATTTTTGGAAGAGGAAATTTTTGGATTTTGATCCCAAAGGCTTTATTCTTGTAAGCTTTTGTTCTTTGGATCCTAGGGAGCATGTTTTGAGTTTCTATATAGTGATCTAATGTTTTGAGTGGATAATTAGATAAAAAAGGTTTTTGGGCACAAAATAAATCCTGAGAAATTGGGTTTTTGCTCTTCAATGGTTTAAGCTTATTGATTTAGTTATAATTTTACTATTTGAGCCCAATAAGATTTAAATTAAGGTTTGGTTTTCATTATAAGGGCTAATGGTGAAAGTTGGTGGCACTAAGTAAAGGTTTTTAATTGATTAAAAATTTTATATAAATGGAATTTTAGCCTAGTGATGGCTAATAAATAGTTTTGGTGGTTAAGTGATACTATGTGAATGGTTGGTTAAATATATGGACCATTGGGATGGATTATGGCTCATAGATTCATTGTGTGGTATGAGTTATAGTCTTCATTAATGCTATTTGACATGATAAGTGATGTGGATCACTTATATGTTGTAGGGATTGTTGGGGAATTTGTTCGTTAAGGAACAAGCCAAGTTCTATTTTGTACAAAAGGAACCCTTTTAGTACCAAAGGGTTGAGGTAACAAGGGAAATTTATATTTTTTATTACTCTGTTTAGCTATTTTTGAATAAATATTACTAGCTATCATGCATTACATGTTTTAAAAGATTAAATGTGCTTTATAAGGGGTTATGGGGTACTAATTTGATTATAGTGCAAATATGTTTTTCAATTATTTAACAACAATGTTTTTATAAAAACGAGATTTGTTTACATGTATTTAAATCATAAGGAATAGAAGTTGCATTTAAGGAAGTGTAACTAAGTAAGGTACCTTAGATAGGCTAACGAACCGTTTAAGGGAAATTTAATAAATGTTATACTACCTTAGAGTGTTGAAGTGGTCAATACTCGGGAAAGGTAGACACGAATAAAAGGCATGATCTCGGTGGGAGTTCACCAATGAGAAGTGTGTGCTTTTGATATTCTATAGCACACTGCCAGTACTCAGTATTGCCTTACGTATTATGGGCTCAGTGCACTAAAGTGGTTAGTGTATTGAGTAGTTCGACACCTCTCAGTGGGGGAGGGAATTTGACATATGAAGTGTGAGGTTGAGTGCCTAGGCCAAGGTTGCCCTCACATGGAGAATAAGTCGGGCTGGCTCTGGGAGGGAGTTAGCTTTGACTGCTCAGGATTCACGTCGAAGGGGCATAGGCGGTTCGGTGGATTAGATCATGCCTTAGATTATGTTTTGTGCCTGTGGAGGTACAAGTAGGTATAAGGTTTACCTGTGAGTTAAAGAGTGTCAGGGGGCATTCTGTTGGTCATGAAAGGTTATACCGGCCTAGGTCATGCATTCATACATTTTAAATGGCTAAATTATATACTATGTTGAATTTATTATTCGCTTATTTGATTATGGCTTGCTTTGTAATAATCAATGTAGATTTCTCTGTTACTGAGACTGTGGTTGTCTCACCCCTTTCTTTTCAATATTCTAGGTCCAGGCGAAGGATCCAGTGGTGGACGGGGAAAGGAGCAAAGCTAGGGGTTTGCTTGTGATTTGTAAAGAACTGCAACCCTTTCTTTTGAGCAAATATATTGTAATGTATTTAGGATTAGGGTGCCAATAGGATATGATTATGTATGTGTGTGTGAATATGTGTGGATTGTGTGCTTGTGTATGAATTTTTGTCTGTTTGCAGACTTGTGGCTAGGAAACTTGGTTATGGTGTGTGGTTTTGATGGATTTACTTAGTAGACCAAGTTTCTATTACAAGCAAATATTTATTTTGATATATATGTGATTTTATAAGTCAATGCAAAGTGGTTGCATTGCAAATGATGTGCCATGGGCAAACATACACCTTGGATAGAGAGAGTGGGTGTGTGGGCCCCACAAGGAGCTCTGAGCCAAGTGAAAATGTTTAGCATATGTATTTATATAAATACATGGTATTTAGATTGATTTGTGACCACTCTTGTATGATTTGTGCATTTTGGGGGTTTAGGGTCCATTTTGGGAAATGGCACTCGGGTGGTCAAATTTTGATGTATGGGGTTTTCCATCATTTGAATGTTCTATCAGGTTGTTTTTAGTCTTATTTGACGTGTCCAAAGTGTTCCCACAGGTTGTGACCATTAGGATGAGATTTGGACAATTTTGAAAATGGTTTTTACCAAAAAGCTGCATTTTTGCATCCGGGTGTCCAAATCTTAATTCGACCGTTGAATTTCTCTAAAATTTGGGTCACAAGTAAAACCTTTTATAAGATTCGTGTGGGATTTAGAGTCATGTCGATGGATATCGGATGGAGAAACGGCGCACTCCAGAATTTGGTCTAGAGGTGCTGTCATGACAGCATTTGTCATGACAGCTACAGTAGTTATATTGTAACCTGCACAAAATTCAATCCGTCCGTTAGATCTTTCAAAATTTGGTATACTAATAGTATTCTTAAAAAGTGACATGTGAGCTTTGGAATCACTCCGATCAGAGGTCGGATGATGAAATGGTGCACTCTGAAAGTTGGTCCGGAAGTGCTGTCATGACTGTCATGACAGCAAAATTGACCAAATTTGTAACATGTTCAATTTTAATCCAACCGTTAGATCTTTTGAAATTTGGTACACTTATAGTACCCTTTGAATGTGACTTGTGAGCTTTAAAATTTCTTCGATCGAAGATCGGAAGACAGAACGGTGCCTCCCTGAAGTTGACTCGGGAGGGCTGTCATGACAGCAATTTAATGCTGTCATGATAGCATATTTTTATCCTTCTTTCGCCTAACTTGCTTTTGTGCTATAGGTAGAACCTATAAATTTTTTTTAAAGGCTTTAAATGTTTACTTTGCAATTGTGTATTTGTTTAGTGATTTAATGGTTTGTTTACTAAGTTGGTTTTAGGATTAATTCCTTAACCACACTTAGTTTATTTGAATTGTGTGATTTTTGGATAACACTAGGGGCAAGTGTTACATTTGGTATCAGTTTTAGGTTTATGATTCCTTTTTCCTACTTGGCACCTTAAATACATTACTTTTATGCTCTTTCCCTTCTACCACTAACCTGAACTAATATTGTTTTTCTTTCTCTGGCTTGTTCCTTTAGGAGGGGAGAAAGGTCCGTACGCTTATGGCCGTACACCTTTCAGTTCTAATATGGCTCGAAGGGGAAGGGGTAGATCGAGGAATAAGGAACGACCACCACCTCTACCTCCTCCGCCTCCGCCTCCTCCTCCACCACCATCACAGGGGACGGATGCAGTCATGGCTAGGCTGCTTGAAGTTATGGTGGATATACAGCAATATCTTAGAAGTCATACTGTTCCAGATCAGCATGTTGACCTAAGTGCTGGGCAGGGATCTTCTAGTACTATGGGAGCTCATGCACTAGTTACTAATAATCGAGAGGATGACATATCCGAACCTTGTAAGCTTCCCTCCCCATGGTAAGAGCTGCATGAAATTTATGTTCTGTTAAGAATTCTAGATTGTTATAGAAAGAAATCAAAGAACTGTTAAGTTAAACAGATTTAAAGATGAACTTGAAAAATATGCCAAACCAATATATTTTGTAGTTACCTCAGAATATTTGAGGCCAAGAGAATTAAACTTTTAAAATAATTTTCTTTCTAATCCAGCTGATTAATAATATCATGCAGTAGGTTAAGGTCCCTGTAATTTTAATTTTATGCTCCAGAGTTAGCACTTGATGTTTGAACTCAGAAGTTATGAAAGGAAAAGTGGAGAACTCTTGCAGTATTGCCAGTGCCATCGGAGCAAATAATAAAGGGGAAGCAAAGTGTTAAATTCTCATTGCCGACCATCAAAAGGAGGGAATCCAGAAAGATATCAGATTATTCTTCATTAACTTAGCAGAGGCAACACTTCTAAAATTTAGATTTATGATTTAACAGTTACATTATTTTGAGTGACTTCAATAGTTGCAAATGAGTCTTAAATATAAATTACTAAGAGTGACTTCAAGGACTTAAATGCCCTTACACTCAGTGATTTTGATAGAGCAAAAGATTCAGAGAAGATTTACAAATCATTTCCTAGGGCCTATAGCAGAATCTATGAGAGAGAAATGGTGTAGAAAAGAGCAACTCCAATGGATAAGAGAATTATCCTAAGGTTCCTTGGCATAAGGGAAAAGAAGTGGTATGTGAGTAGGTTTTAGATGCAACTAGAGTGTAGGTAGTGTTGTAATGTTTTTATTCTAAATCCTCCACATCTGCCAGGGAAAGGGGAGTTCCGTCTTTTAGAAGTATAGTGAGGATTGGGGGAGATTTGGCCTCTTGAAAGCCAGAAGCATTGCCTTGTGTGTATGTGTGTATGTGTATTTTATAAATTAGTGAACTATGCTTGAACAAGAAAATGGTGCTAGTGCATTCACTTGAAGTTCATTCCATAGCTTTGGAATAAATTCATCGACCATGAAAATAATAAAAAAAATCATTATTGCACAACAATTTGGAGGAAGGTTTTACAACTAGAAAAGGCACACTCAGCAACAGAGGATATGCTAACTCACAACACAGTTATGTTTGATTTGCCACTAGTGAAAAAGTTAGCGCAAAATATGGGTACATCATATTCTACTTTCGGAAAGGAAGCAAAATCCAGAACCTGCACAAAAGGGTTCAAGTCAAAGTTATTATCTTATTGCAAAGAAAGGAAGCAGCAACATGCATAAATAATTTCTAACTCAACCCAAAGGCAAGAAGATACAGAATACTTCAACAAGGACTTCTAATTGTTTTTCTTTCATTCACTTGGACCTTCAAAATTGGTCTTGTGCTAAGTCTATCTATGAAACCTCTAACTGATTGAAAGAGTCAAAAAAGCATTAGAAGTAAATATTGTGATGGTTGAATGTAGCACTTCTGATTATTAGGACAAGACTTCTTCACTTTCTTCAAGACCCTGTACTTATACTAACAAGAAAACAACAGAACAACTATTATTTCCTATTTTTACTAACAAAATTCACAGAATATACTCAAAAAAAAAAAAAAAGAAAGAAAGAAAGGAAGGAAGAGAACTTTAGTGCACGTTTGGTATATGGGAAAGTGTTGTGTAAAAAGTAAAAGAGACAAAATTAAGGAAACAGGAGCTATTCTCAGCCTTCTTGATAACTAACAAATTTTGGACCGGATCAAAGTAATCTTCTCCAAAACAAAAGACAGATCCGTTCGGATATCTTCAATCATAAACTGATAAAAGAGAGATGTGAGTCTTGTTCCTAGAATAATGACACTGTTTTTCACAATAATCTACCGAAGATATAATGCCTTATTGATAAATCTATTTTCAACCAGTTCAATCAGGGTTGCCAATAATGCCCATCTTCTTAATTAATTAATGAGATGGTGACATTCTAGTTTGGTAAAATATAAAGAGAATGACAATTATTAGGTCTCAGTCTCAGAAGTCAGAAGACAAATTTAATAACTATTAGCTCCAAAAACATTACAAAGGAAGATGAGTAGAGTACTTAGCAAATATTGAAACAAAAAATTGCAAATATGGGAGTCCTAAATGCTAATTACCAAGAGTGACCCAAGGGATTATATGGAAGTCCCCAAATAATGATGCAAAGTTCCATGCTAGATAATTCCAATAGAAGAATATTCTCATAAGCCAGAAGCTATGGAAAAAAAGCTAATAGAAAGCTAAAAAGTGAATAAATAAACTTACTTAAAATGAAGTTCAACAGGAAGTAATTTTATAAATTAGTGAATCGTATCTTGAACAGGAAATTAAAATATTGCATTGACTTACTGAAGTAAGTTCCATTAGCTTAGGAACAAATTCAGCGTCCACAAAAAAAAAACAGAGAGTACATATTTCATTATTGCTGAACAATTTGGAGGAAGGTTTTACAGCTAGAAAAAAGAACACTCAACTAATAACAAAGAATAAGCTAACTCACAACACAATGATGTTTGATCTGCCACCGGTGAAAAAGTTGGCACAAAATATTAAGGCAAGTAATCATGCATAAATGATTTCTATCTCGGCCCCACAGGCAAGAAGTTTAAGAATATCTCAACAAGAACTTCAATTTTTTTCTTTCATTAATTCACCCATACCTTAAAAATTGGTCCTAGTTCATATGAAGCAAGAAAATTGTCATGCCCCAAAATTTGGAGAGCAACCGGCACGGAATGTGAATCGTTTCACACATCCTTGTAAGCCTTAAATCATAAATTAACTCTATTTCTAAAATTAAATCAGATTTGTATTGAAATTATAACACTTTTGACACTAAAAATTACAACAAAGTTTCAACATGTTCATAAAAATTTCAGCAAAACCCCCTGTAAATAAAATCTCTCAAAATTTCTCCAATACATTGATACAGTCAAAATATCAAATAAATCAGGAGCTTAGCTCCTTCCAATCGACAGATAGCATATATATAAAAATAAAAGTCCTAGTTATAGCTTATGTGGAGCACCTATTTGTATTTTTAAAAAAATTAAAATAAAAATAAGATATATAAACATTTATAATTATATCAAAAGAAAAATTTCAATCAACCCACCACCTGTCTATGAGTGCTCAAGGATCGGCAAGAAGATCAACATCAGCTAAGGTATCTGAGACCAAAATAATTTTTAGTGAATACCGTCCCAACAATAAACAATAAAACATAAATAAAATGAAAAGTTTGAAATAGTTATGTAAGTTAAATAAACAAAATTTTTGTAAAAATTTAATAAACTTCATAATAAAATGGCTCTATAAATTTCAAATAAAATCTCAAATCATTGAACTATCATAGCAAATGATAATATCACTTGATTTCAAGAAAGCACATAAATGAAATAAATATTTATAAACAAATTACTAAATAAAAACTAATAGAATATAAAATCATCAAACGATTGGATTCATAATTATAGGGACTTATCATAACAATTAATAAATGTGGACACACAATCCACGAGGGTAACTAACTAAATGTGGCTTATGCCATAAAAACAAACATGGATACACAGTATAAATAACCAAACGCGGTTGAAGCCACGAAACAAACATGAACACCTAGTCCACAAGGGTAATGCTAATCAAACGCAGCTTGAAGCCACGAAACAAATGTGAGTACGATACTCACGAATAACCATCCCTCCATTCCACGTGCGTTGGCCATCGCATGAGGCTAGCACCTCCTATAAACACCCTACTAGCTAGGTGTACCATAGCGTGCCAAGGGCAACCGAAACTGCCATTAGCAACCAGTATTCTGTATAAAATCTTTTTTTAAAACCATTTTCAAATATGCGAGAAAATCATCACTCTCAAGATACAGTTCTCATTTTCAAAATCAAACTCACATGAATACTTTTAAGTATTAAAACTTGCCAGAATCAAATTTCATATCCAATGCTCATGCTTACATTTATTGAAAAATCAAAAATTGCCAATGCTAATGAAATTGAATTTTATTAATCCTGAAAGGATATCTCATAAGGGGTAAAACATTCATATGCTATGATGAATCGTTTTTCACCACCATCTTAAAACTTAAAAATGAAGAAATTTAATTAATAAAGTATCCACTAATCAACATAATTATTATTAAAATAATCAATATAACAAAATAAATTTTAATAAGAAAAATTAATTGATAAATTAGTTGGGACGCTATTCACTTACCTGAGAGTTTCTCAATAATCTTATAATTAGACTCCCTCAATTTCCCGCTTACTCCAGTGATACTCTAAATTAATCTAGCATTTAAACCAACAACATTCAACCCCACCCATTAACACTCTTCTTATTCCATGTTTAACAAAAACCTCAGTCATCACATAACCTAACAATTTCCCTCTTTGGTGCTATACAAATCCAATGAGTAAATCAACTTTACAACTTGTATGTAAAGACATATACTTTCTTAAGTAGCATAAAATTTCTTAAGGCTCTAATATGAAAATTAAACAGTTTTATTTTCACCAATTTTTTTCCAAGCATTTTCACTAATACATTGAGTGTGTCACCGTAAGCTAAAGCATGAAATCAACATTCAAAACTTCAAACAACTTCAAATATTTAATTCTGCAACTAAAATTCAGCTCAATATCAAAATAAATTGGCATCCATCATTAACCAAACAACACCTCAGTTTTCTCAAAATCAAGACAACAATAATGAGCAGAGATGCCTCTTTCGGCCAGGAGAGGAAGAAGAAAGAATCAGCAACTTACCACAAACCAAAATACAATAGCTTCAGCCACACCTAAGCTCACGGATGACGCCAAAGGAGAGAAGAAAAGCTTCATCTCTGCTGTTCAAATGAGAAGGAGCAGAAAATTAGGGACCCTAAAAGAGAAAGATTTGAGCTCACTATATGCACGCGGTGTCCAACAACTAAGGAGGAAGAAAAGTGGAAGCTGAACGCGCACACACTACTGTTGTTAGTCTAGAACAGAGACAAACAGAAAACGATCACCCCAACTCTTCCAACAATAGAGACGCAACAATAAGGATCAACGCAGACCAACGGTGAGCAA